TGATAGCTATATTTTCTTGGATGAAAATTAATTTTAAGAAGCCCTTATCTTAATCATTTTGTGAGTAAATGTGTTTATTTAACACTTGTTTTATTTTGTAGAGCCAGCCCAAAAAGAAAAGAAAAGCCCAACTTATGGCCTAACTTATGTGGACTTCATCAAGCCCAAATAAAGCCCACATCTTCTCCACATTTTTTATCGGCCAGAAGAGTTTGGAGAGGAGGCATACGGCAACAGCAGTAAGTGGGATCGAGGGAGCGAGTTCGTGGGTTTGAAGCGGGAGAAACGTGGGTTTGAAGGATTTAAAATGGAGAATTTGATCGAAGCTTGGGGGCTGTTCGTTTGGGGCTGTCACGAGAGAAATAGAGAGACAGCAGAAAGGGGCTGTCAATTAGCGAGAGGCAGTCATCGAAGGGAGGCTGTTCGTTTTGGGGCTGGTTGTTTTTGGAAGCGGCCGACAGCAAGAAAAATCGAGGGCTGTCGATTAGAGGCAGAAATCGAAAAGGATCGAGAGCGAGGACAGCAGGTGGCTGTCGACTGAGGGCTGTTGGGTTAGCGAGGGAGAGAGACGCAAGGGTGTAGAGGACGAGACGAGAGGTGGACAGCAGGTGGCTGTTCGATTGAAGAAGACAGAGACAGCAAGGGGCTGTCAATTGAAAACAGCAGCAAGCTGTTTGATTGGAGAAGATGGATGTKAGACGGTGGTTCCATTGAAGAACACGGATGCAAGAATTGGAGAAGACAACCTTTTCTCATCAATCTTCCTGATTCTTATGGTAAACCTAAAACCCTTAGAATCAGTAACTTAGTTTAACCATGTCTTGCTAATTTGTTCATTCCAACATTGATTTAATTAGGTTTTGTTTTGTTATTGCTTTGAGATTTCATTGTAATCGTGTTTGAACAAGCTTATTTGTTTGATTTYTGAACTTAATGTTAATCCTAGTTGGGTTTTTAATTAGTTTAGCTAACTGATTGGAAATCTTTTATGGAATGGTTATTCAAAATGCTTAGATACGTAATTGTCTTAGAGTTTTGATAGAGTAACAATAGTATTCATTTGGTTTCGATAAGGTTTCCGGATTGAATATTTGAAATCTTGCGATTAGAGCCTCGATAAGCCGAGCTTATGAGCTTATGGCTTTGAATTGGTAATTTTTCTAGTCCGGTAAAGCTAGTCGCACCTATGAGTTTAAGAGCTTATTTAAAYTTGTATTTGTGGTTAAGGGTTGATTAGAGAGCTTATTTTARTCAACAATTWTCTWTGGAAAATGCGGGTCGTTAGAGCTTGTTAACGATTAAAGCCAATTCGGGCTTGTTCTTTCCGTTTACATTTTTGGAATCGATGATAGGCACTAACATCTTAACCGGTATTAAATCGATGTTGGGATTTTAATCAATTGTTTTAGTTTATATTATTGCATTTTTAGAGTAATTAATCAAATTCAAACCCCCCCCCCTTTTTGTGATTATTAGTATTTTTACGCTTCCATCGCGTGCTTGATTCGCTAGTCGTATACCGTTAGACCGAGTCTCTGTGGATTCGACCCGACTTACACTACTACAATTTTGGTTGTAATTAGTCGTTAGTTGGAATTTATTATTTGGTGGACTCGGCATCCGTCAGCCTAGTAAGCCCTAGCCCAGGCCCAGGAGCGGCCTTAAAGCCCAATCAAGCCAACTTTTTTCAATGACTGGTTAATCCCGAAAAAGCCCGGCCTGAAAAGGCCCGATCGGGCCCTCTTTCAACCACAAAGCCTGGGTCGGGCCCAAAAAGCCCGAGCCTAGTAAGCCATAGCCCAGATCCAGGTGCGGCCTTAAAGCCCGATCAGGCCAACTATTTTTTCAAGGTCCGGTTAATCCCCAAAAAACCCGGACTTTTTTTTGCTTACCGAGCAAATAGGTGTCGCCATGGTGGTTTAGAGTAGATTTTAGTACAAAGAATTTGTTGCATACCAAAAGAAATTAGTTGAAAACCCAGCATCTTCCACCAATTTGCTGAAAAATCTTTTCCAAGTCCATGGTATGGGAGATTGTCAAACTGGTTTTCAGTAATCTTCTTGGCCTGCGATCCACAAGGACAATCATTAAGACTTCAACTGATTGAGCATTACGGTGCTGTCAAGAATAACCACATCACAGCAAGAACAAACAGGTAGCAAATTATTTGATAACAAATAATTAGCACATCAGAACTGGTGCTAATTATTTTTAGATGAGGCAGCTCAATCAAGGCTTGGAGAATGGACAATATATATATATATATATATATATATATATATATTGGGGGGATCTTGAATACCTAATCAGAACAAACCCAGTATATCCCATTCGAAGGTGGGGTTGGGGAGGGTAAGATGTATGCAGACCCGACTTCTACCCCCAAAAAATAGAGCAGCTGTTTCCGTAAAGACCGCCGGCCACTTAAATACCTCACTAGACTATATAACTAAGACCAGCGTGATTAGGTGCTGGGAGATTGTAACTTATAAATCAGAGCTCATACAAAGTGCTCCTACAACTTCTACTAATAGCTTATCCAACTGCAACCATACGCATGTGCCTGTTTGACCCTTGAACAAGTTAGCAGACTTTAGAAGTAAATCTTACACGAGAACCTCGAAGAACATCTATAGGCAAGTTAAGGCCCCAGTAACCACCACATGACTGGATGCAACCCATCAGCAGAAATGCTTCTCTAGAAATATCACTCTCCTCCTTAGAGTCGGTGCAATTATCACAATTTCCTGTAAAGAAAAGGACTTGTTCAATGATGATTCAAATAAGTCATCCATGAATAACCAGTTCATCCTTTTGTGCTAAGAAATTGAAGTTAACAAGTAGAAACACAAAACAATCATAATACCCATTCAACATAAAGATCATCCAGAAAAACTACATGACCATGCAGGATATGCCAATCAACCAGTAGCCTGCTAACTTACATTTTCTTTTTGTATTTCTTTTTACATTGTGATAACGGGAATGGAACCCCAGGACAAATATTTCTTTTACATTTGGTTCTTGGAACAAAGTATTTCCTCAGAATTACATTACATCATCTACATGGAGAAATGAGCTCAATAGCATCAAACATGTAAAGAAGATCAATCAAATATAGGTCCCACACTTTAGATACTGCAGCGATTTGGGAGTCATTAAAGCTGAAAAGTTCTCTACGTTCATTACTCTATCCAAATTAAGAAAGCATCTTAGAAAGATGAGTGCTCAAGTTGATGGCCCTTTATGCGGCAAGCTACAAGAATGAAGCCATGTTGAAGATATAAAACTATGTCTATGCTAGGTTATTTGTTTCTAGCAAGTTGCAACTAGAAAATGTTTTCTTGCATCTACAATGCCATTAACCCAACTAATAACGGAACTTGATGAAGAATCAGATTTACAAACTGGATTTAGATCAATAAAAGATAAACCCCACGTGCCTAAATTTAATCTTATTCCATGGCTAAACTTAACACCAACTTTTTTTGAAGTATATAGTATTCTATACAGCAAATACTCACACACTCCTCACGTTTGGTGAGGTTTCAACCCCAGGGACTGCTGGACAATGACCCTTTTGTAACTTAACACCAACTTGTTCTATCGGTTTCCCCAAAGACACTTTTATGGAAAGAGATCTGTTTAATTGTAACAGTTTAATCAACTGGGTTGATTACATGAAGAATTTCAGCCATTCAGATATATCAAAAGCAACTTCCTCTGCCAACAAATCCTTCTAGATTGTTTCCATGTATGTTTCTCTCATGATCAGGCCATGTCTGGTGGTCTCTCAATCAATTATTTCAATCAGTGTGAAAACATCTTATTAACAACAATCCATTAAAATGGAAACAGAAAATTTATGAGTGCAATTCTCCTACTAGGAAACCAAGATGGACTACAACATGCAAGTACACTGTTGTTTCCTGCTTATAATGTGCAGAGCCTTCAGAAGAAACCCAAATTCCATATGCAGTAGGAAAATGTCAAATACCATCCATGCATACATAAAAACTTAACAGGGCATAAGGAATAGCATTTGATCTGAAGTCAAATACCTAGAACAAGAAGAGCTGATTTAACTATTTGATTCATGATGGCTGACTAGAGTTCCCCAAATTCAGGAACGAAATTATGTAATTTTATTGCTCATAGCATAATCTAGTGGCCATGTCGTATAAAATATGAAAGAGAAAGATCGATATTATTCCTCACCACATTTATTAGATGCAAATGTTTCCCCAAAGTACTCCAGCAATAATTTTCTTCTGCAAGTTGCCTTCATGCAATATCGTTGAGCAGCCATAAATGAATCCATAATAGCTTTCTTCTGGTTTACCTGGTCAGTTAAGACAATAATACACTAACAACCGAACCAAACTTGTTTGATGCATGAACCAGATTTGTAAAGAAAATCAATGGCCTCCAAACAAGACAAGAATAAATGATTTTTCCAAGAAAATTGACATACTGAGCTTGCTTCTCCACAATAGAATTCAGCTTTTCCAAAGTCACTTCTTGAAAAGTAGAGCCAGCAATCAGAAGTGATACCATCTCGACCACATCGTCCACTTTCTTGATAATAGGACTCCAAACTCTTGGGGCATCCATAGTGGATAACGTGTCTTATGTCCGGCTTATCAATACCCATTCCAAAAGCAATAGTTGCAACCATGACCTGGAGCTCATCCCTTATAAAAGATCTAACAACAAGAGGATACACAAAATACATGATTGTTGAAACATCCATGACCATTTGAAGGAAAAATCAAGTTCAGAAAAATCAAAAACCTGTGTGACTCTTCACGAGCCTTGTTAGACATTTGACCATGATACATTCCAGCCTTGATTCCGACCTCACAAAGTGATTTGGTAATCTAAGGGATCCAGACAGATGGGAAGAGAAAAAATGAGAAGACATCTAATGAATAACGATTCTAAGCAAGTCAAGAACCAAGAGTATCTCCCCATGACATAAACACAAAAGCTTGAGATAGAAATGATTTTGTTTTGACCTATGGTGGGAGAAGAATCACGATTGTGCCTGGCTAGCAGTCAAAATTATTTTTCTTGGTCAAATAAGTTAAAGAAGATATTTATGTCATGCTATGTAATGATAGAAATTAGATGTATATTCATGCCTGGTTATCGAACGTTTCTTTTGGTTGGTTGAGTTGGTACAAGAAAAACAGATAAGCTATCTCTGAGATAGTAGTATCTAGACTTGTGCAATTTCATTGCCTAATTGTTTAATTATAGTAGAGGATAGTAAAATTCCTAGTAATATATAGATATCCTCTATGAGGCATTTTTGTAACAGAATTGAAATCAATTTTGTGGACACTTGATAAGACCAGGTTGCATCATAACGGTTATGTACAAAAGAGGGGGATATAGTAAGCTAGCACTAATCTGCTGAAAAGTTCCTCTCCTTTCCATCTTTAGAAAAACAAAGAAAAATAAAAAATCAACTACAAGAGACACAAGTCTGAAGCATGAATAAGAGGTTAACAGTATATGGAAGCTGACCTCTTGGACATCTTTGATGGTCGTACAGTATACAATAGTTGATCCAGCATTTGCTACATGTTTAGAAATTTGTGCCACTAGCTCATCCACAAATGAAGACCCACGGTTAATAGATTTCACACCATAGTAGAGGTTTTTACGATCGAATGATCCAATAGCAACATGAGGGTCTTTCATCCTAAGCGAATCAACTATATCATTTCGAACCCTGGAAAAGCAAGAGAATCACCATCAATATCACATGCATTTCTCTCTTGCACAATTTACTGAATCTACAACACAAAGGAAAGTTTCCACAAATAGCCCTGCATAGTGAATCCAAATGTGGGGAACTTTGTCCAGAGAAACTCAATGCACACCACATAGATACATATACATAGAAGTGTAGGATAGATTTAGGGTGGCACCATATATAGAGAAGCTTCCATACAAATATAGCCAAAGACTAAAAGCCAAATCAATTTGCATAGAACATACTTTTCTGTAGCTGTTGCTGTCAATCCAACAAATGGAACATCTAACAAAACATCTCGCAGCTTGTATAATTGTTTGTACTCCACCCTGTAAAGCAGATAATTCATTAGAAGTAATGGTAAAAACAATGTTCAAATAATAGGGGGATACAAATGAGAATGACTATATATGGAGAGGGGGGGTGAATAGGTATGAATGCTTATTACTTATCCAGGGTTGAGTAATCTATAAGTCAGATCCATGAACACTACTAAGCTATCCAGCATCCATGTGTTTGACATCAGTTGATTATCTGATAGGAATTCACCTGAATAGAGGTTTACAAATACCTCACAAAAATCTGAAAGCATGCTAATATTTAGTATTGAACCTTCTATCCACACTACTCTTCCAGTTTAGAGCCACTCGCAAATCTGTACAAGCATCAAGACCCTTAGAGCAGTAGCCCAGACTTTAACCTATTGGATTTCTACCAAGTAGGCTACTCGATTTAAGCTTGCTGAATCTAATAAATAAACAAGACTTGACTAGGTTATGAAAGCTAATCAAAGTTATAAATCACATTATAACTTAACGTAAAAGACAATAAAGGGTAAGAAGAAACCAAAATATAAGAAAAATCATGCAAAGTTTCTCTTTTAACCAAAGATCCAGTGGGAGAGAACAGAGAGAGTTTCATACAGAGTAGTAACATTGAATAAAATTTACGTGGAGCGAAAAATTAAGAACCAGCATGTTACTATTTAATGAACACCATAATTCATTATAATGTTATGTTAGAAAATGAGATACAATAATAACCTGGAAATCCCAGAATATGATCTTATATTCCCATTAACTATGTTGTCTAAACCCATGGCCAGCAAATTGCACATCTATATACCCATTATATTTTGTGGTGCACATGAATTAATATGGTGATAAGACCCATATGTTCTATAAGCAAAAAGCATAATGAAGACAAAGCATATATAGATATATATATATATATATATATATATATATCAGGAAACCAACCGAAAATCATGGCCCCGCTCCGAGATGCAGTAAGCATATATAGATATATAGATATATCAGGAAACCAACCGAAAATCATGGCCCCACTCCGAGATGCAGTGTGCTTCATCAACTGCCACTAGGCAAATTCCTGTGGTAAGCAACCTCGACCAGAAGCTGCATCGTGGTAAAAACAGCTCAACAGAATATCGTTTAATATTTGTTGTTGTGCTCACTATAGCATATCATATCATCACAATAACTAAAGTAATCCAGCAAAGTGAAAACCACACACAAAGTTGCAGTAGTCAATGGAACCCACACAAAAAGTGGTGACACATCATCACATTAACACCATACTGAATTGCTGATGAAATACCCACACATATGTTACCTTCAAAACAAAATCTGCCACAAAAATAATTATATACAGCTTAAACATCATACGAACAAAAACCATTCGAATTGGCATCTATGAAGCCTTATCGCTCCATGCAGTTAATGTTCAATAGTATATGAACTTTCAGAAACTTGCATCAACAATGACATGACAGCCTAAAGGCATGAGAAAGGTATCTCCAGAAGTGTTAAAAGGGCAGCTTGTAGAGCTAGCACAAAAGAGCAACCAACACATGTAAGTGAAAAGTACCTCAAAAAGATAACCAATCCGATAAAGAAGTTTTCAAACATGAAGATTACATCTTTCAACACTAATTTCAATCATAAAACTTATAGTCACAGCCAAAAAGCTAGGATAAAACATCAATCAGAACCAGTTAAACACAGATTGAGATATTCCCTACACAGTTCATGCAACAAGCAAACAAACTATGTTCACATAAGCAGTAACGGTAGATGGTGCATATCAATGAGGCAATATTCAAGTACCTAAAAAGTTTTCATAAGCAGGTTCTCCTAACTGTAGCAAGGTAGACCTACTAAGGGACCAGCATATATGCTAAGATCATCTTCTGATGAGATTTTGATTTAATGGGGAGCAAACAAGGAAAGTACGACCTGGATCCATCAGTTTCCAAGACCAAACAGATGCTATTATGTTAAGTCAACAATTCAACTAGATGATTAAGCTCTAATGAGAAGACACCAAAAACATAATCCATGCTTTTTGAACCTTGCACCCTTTAATCAAAATCTCAGGTTTATACTGACGGGTGTGACAATCATTACCTGTTAGGAACAAAACATGCCTTCTCTGGAGTCATATACAGAATGTCATATTCACCATTTTCAGCATTCCTTTGTGCACTTAAGTTGGTCTGGGCAGTAGAGAGATGCTCAGCTTTAATACCCCTCTGTTTCAAAGCCATCACCTATAAACAAATATCATATGTATTATCATGTGCTTATTCACTAGAATTCAGTTCCGGAAGAAGATAAAAGAAAAAATACCTGATCTTGCATCAAAGAAATAAGTGGGCTTATAACTATAGCAGTCTTTTTTGCAATCAATGGAGGGACCTGATAGCTTGGTAAAATGAACAAAAAACGAATCAGTTGCAAAAGACTAATCACAAATAAATCAACAGTTTTACCACTCTAGTATACTAGGAGACATGTAGTGTCATCCTTACACCTCCTGAAACCTAAAATTTCTACCTGTGAACAGTTATGGCATCTACACTCTGCTGGTATTATTCCAAACATTATGTAACCACCTATAATTCTATAATTTCTTCACCACTTTTTCCATTCCAGCCATATTCTGACTTTAGATATCAAAGGGGCACTTTCCAACTTCAAATTTGATATGCATCTTAAACTTAAATTTGCTTGGTTCATCAAACTTTATAACAAAAACAATAATAGAAACAATGTTCGACTTCCATTCTTAACAAAACCAAAAGATAATTTGCATTTGAAAAACACTAGATTTAGCATCAGTATTCACAATGTACCTCTTTCTTTGGGAGACTACTGAGTGCTTTTCGTGTAAAATGAGATTTTATACATCAAGAGTAACCATAGTCTGATAAAAGGGACATCCCCCAATTATATACAATAAACCCTCACCTGTCTCGAGAAACTGTATGATTGCTAAAGGTTCTGAAGCACTACTTAGATTAAACCATTTATCCTTGCTGTATAAAAAATCTTATCAGCTATTTCGTTTACAGTAGACAGGCTATTCCAAAACACCAATTTAAGCAAAACAAGCTTTACCATAGAGACTTGCCGCTACCAGTAGCCATAACAACCAAGCTATCTCTTCCCCCCAAAATCTTCTCAATTATCTCCTTCTGATACGGTCGAAATGTCGAAAACCCATAATATTCCTGTTACCATATACATCGACATAAAACGTCGCCTGAATAAGTGAGAGTGTTATCGCTGACATATGAACTTTGCAATATGAATATCACGAAATCGGAAAAGGGAGTTTTAGGGTTTTCCCGTAGCAAAAACAATGTAAAAAAACCGAAAGAGAATATGGAAGTTACCTTGAGAGTGGACTCCATTTCCATTGCTTTCCAATCCAACGGAATGAATGTGGATTGAATTGGAACAAAAAAATGGAACTCCAGAAGCCTTCTATATGCTAAAGGCCTAAAACTCGAGGTTGCTGCCTGTAACCAGGTGGGTTTTCGCGCCAATTGGTGAAAGCATTTTGTTTTGTTTTTTTTTTTATAAATTACATGAAAAATTAATTGAGTAATGTATTTTTAAAACTTTCATTTTAATACCTAAAATATAAATTTTTAAATATTTAAATACTCGGATAATAGATTGAGGATTAGTTTTAGATTAAAAAAATTATGTGATTAACCACGTCAACAAATAATACTGAATGGGATATCATATCACTCGTCACATCAGCATGATAACCGGTTAATGTTTCAACCGGTTATCCGTGTACTTAAATATTTAAAATTTTACATCTTAGATACCAAAATGAAAGTTTTGAAAGTGCATTGCCCAAAATATAAATTAAGTTAAAGTGCGTTATTTTTTCACACAATTTGCCATTTTGTTTTTTAATATTTCATTTTGAGATATTTTAGTTGTCTTCAAATAAATGTCTATTTTTTTCTAATATCAATTATAAGATGGAAAAAAATTTCTTTCTATGTGATTAATGTTAAAAAAAAATGTGTTTTTATTAATTAAAAAGTATAATAATTATATATTTCTAAAATTGTATTTTTTTTATTGTGGACATTTATTTTGGGACGAAATTTGTGCAAACAAATGCTTTCTCAAACATTCATTTATGATGTAATAAAATTTCAAATTTTTTATTTTTTTATTAACTAGTATGGGAACCGTGCGTTGCACGGTAGCATGAGTACTTTGATTAATAATCTGAAGATTGTCTATATAAATATGTATTAGTTGTTAATAGAATTATCAACAAATAGTATTTAAATAATTCTAAAAAGTTAAATAAAATATAATTAGTGAAATTTTAATATATATATATATATA